AGCCTAACTTAGTTTGCCATTTTAGGTAGGGTTGCCTAACAATCATTCTCATTTTAGCCAAGATCGCCTAACTCGGATCGTTGTTTTAGGTAGGGTTGCTTAAATATCATTCTCACTTTAGACGGGGTCGCCTAACCTAGGTCATCATTGTAGGTAGACTTGCCTAGCGATCATTCTCATATTTAGGTAGGGTCATTTAACTTAGTTGATCGCTTTAAGTAGGGTTACCTAACGATCATTCTCATTTCGGAAAGAGTTGCCTAGCTCGGTTTGTTATTTTAGGTTGGGTTTCTTAGCGATCACTTCTCATGTCAAGTAGAGTTACCAAATTTAGTTCATCATTTTATGAAGAGTTGCCAATTGATTATTTCTCGGTTTCGGATAGGGTTGTCTAATTTATTTTATCGTTTCAAAAAATTGTCTAGTGACCATCTCTCATTTTAGGTAGGGTTACCAATCTAGTTCATTGTTTTAAATAGATTTTCCTAGCGACCATCACATTTTACTTTCTAGGACAAGCTACCCTACACAATGAGATTATTGCATCTTACTTTTTAGGGATGGTCGCACTTGAGAATAAGGTCATTGCATTATATTTCACTTATTCAAAGCAAGTCTCTAGGGACAATTAGATCATTTTTCAATCACTCGGTTTACTTTTTTTTTCTTTATAAGCTTATTGAGCAAGCCCAATCTAAAGTTTACACTTTAGGTAGCATTTACATCATGAGCATTGTAAAGAAGAAACAACTATTATAACCTAAATTTTAGGTTATACATCCCTTTAATTCGTATCCCTTTTAGTTTTTATTTATCTTTTATTTTTATTTTTAATTTATTTACTTTCATATTTAATATAAAAACAAAAATTATGAAAAGAATAAAAAATACAAAAAATCCAAAAATCCAAAAATCCATTGCATAATTAATTAGAGATATAGTTGAATTAAATCAACACCGAAATTAAAACAATTAGGGATACAATCGAATGATTGAAAACTTTAAGACTAAAATCAAATGATTCATAAGCATAATTAAAGAAATTGAGAGACCAAAGGATCAAAATTGGATGCTAGAAGGGTCTAATTGTAGACAACCAAAAGATTTGAGGACCAAATTGAAATTAAGGAGCGAATGATAGGACCAAAGTCAAGTGAATGACTTATCGTTCATCTCGACCTAGAACTAATACCGAGGCTCGCTCATCATCGTCCTTGGAGATAAATTTCTCTAATTTTTTTTCTCGTTTAATTCTATGATTCGTGGTTGGAAATTGTACTAGTCAAGAATCATGCCGCATTCCATTTATTCATCCGCACTTACCGCACCACCACTACACCCACACACTACATTTTCATCCTTCAACCATAGTCTACACACATAGCCAATAACATAAAAGCATGTTCTTTGGCTTTATCAATCAATGGTTTTGATTGACCGAAGATCGATCCTAGGGTGGAAATTAGCTCGAGTTCGACTATAAATAAGGTTAAAAAAGACCAAAAAAAGAAAATGAGAGAAGAGATTAAAGGAAAAGAAGAGAGGATTCTAGGAAAAAGTCTTCTAGTTCATTAAATCTTTGGGTTTTGAAGAACAACTTGGATTTTTAAGAAAAAAAATTTTGGGATTGTTTTTGCTTTGTGAGAAGGAGATTTTTGGTTTATAGAGGGGAAAGAGGGAGAAGAGATTGGAAAGAGAGATTGAGAGAAAAAAGAGAATTTTTAGGTTTAAGTTTTTAGGCTTCAAGGAAGAATAACCTAGTTTTCTAAGTCAAAAATTCAACTCTTTGTGGGTTCATTACATCATTTCAATCCATAATCCCCCTATCCGAAGTTCTAAGTGCATCCTAAGCCACTCTCAATGCCCCAAAATCAACAATCAACCTAGCCTCTACAAATCACCTCAAATAACCTACAAGTCAAGGAAACTCATAACACCAACACCATAATCCACTCATTTCCCAATTTATTTCATTCGGGTAACTTAAATCTATCCATTTTCTATTTCATCGATTTTATATTAATTATTCATTTTTAGTTTTAAATTTAAGGCCATGTAGATGGTAGCGGAAAAGCTCACAACCACGGCGAGCCCCGTTACTCAACTATCCCCACATAGTGTTGATGATGAGATAATGAGAAGTTTGATTCCATGAAAAAGATTTTTGGGCGGGACGTAAGAAACATGTTAGAGGGAGTTTGGGTGCGGAAAAAGGAAGAGGAAAAAGGAAGAAAAGGACAAGAAAGAAAGAAGAGGAAAAGGGAAAAAGAGAGGAAAAAGTTAGGTTAGACTAGGCATGCTAGTTCGAAAAATAAAAAAGATAAGGAGAAAGTGGGCCGACTCTAGCCCAACTCAAAAAAAGGAGAGGCAGAGCTCTAGTGGGCTCAGCCTAACCCAACATGCCCAACCAAATGAGTTTGGCCTATGGGCCTAGCCTAATAGGTCGTATGCCCACTGGGTCTAAAGGGCATAATAACTCAATTTTAGTTATTTTTCTATGTAAATCAGCTCTAAATTTTGTAACACATGCTCTTTGTTTTAAGCCTTGTTAGATTTAGTATTTTGAATTCTTAGTATCTTACATTTATTTACTTACTTAGTCAATGTTTAGTTTTTAGCTTTATTTCAATAATTAGATGAGGTAATTAATAAGTAGATGAGTCATCGAGCCTTCTAATTTTAGGGACCGGTGACAATTCCTAACAAAAAAAAATATAAAAAGAAAATATTAGATAAAAAATGAATAGACAAAATAAAAAAAAAGGAAGGAAAAGAAAAACAAAAAAGGAAAAATGATTAGATAATAGATTTTTTTTAAAAAAAAAAGATAAAAAAGAAGAAGAAGAAGAAGCAAAAATAGAGAAAATGCTTGGTAGGAAATTAACAAAATCTCATATATAATAAGGACTAATATTAACTCAAATCAATCACATTTTACTAATTAGGTTATTTTCTCACATAACAAATATGTTGAGATTTAAACTAGATTCGATGTTAACTAGACGAGACAACCAATCGAAGGATCCGGCAATTAAGTCAATATGACGCCACCAAAAAAAATAAAAAAAAATCCATTTGGATTAGAAAATAAACATAAAATTTTGACTTAAGATTAATCTTGACGATAATAGAATTTTTAAGGAGATAAATTTTAGTACTAAACTAGATATAATACTTTTATAAAAAAATGCTACATTTGGATGATTGATATCTTCCCAAATGCATTATGAGCTTCTTATCCGAGAATTTTTGAACCGAGTGCTCATTTTAAATTTCTAATTACGTTTAATATTAAATGGCTATTTTGAAATTAATAAATAACTTTTATTCCAATGCAAACAAAATTTTTAACAAATAATTTTTTTTAAAGATTTTTGGAGATGACGGGTATGACAATTTAAAAAAACTATCATAATTTATTAAATTTTTTTCTATAACCCCGGAAAAAAGAGATTAAAAACTCCATGAGACCAAGAAGCCAACATGGCCAAAAAGGAGGGGGATAAGAGCCGCTAAATAGTCAAAGAAAATGAACGAATAAACCAAAGTATAATAATTTAGGAACAAACTATTCATATTAAAATATTTTATCAACTAATATATTAACAGATGAATGAAAAAGAGTGAGTCTCATGGATATTACTATTTCTGTTTATATAAAAATATTATATGATTATTTATTTATTTATATAGTACTAGTCATAAAATTATTGTTGATCTATAAGGTTCTAGTAACATGTGACTTTCTTTTCGAAACGGTCAATGATATTGATTGGCAATAATATCATAATATTTCCCCTCGTGTCTGCACCTGATGCCCGTTGAAAACGTGGAACACGACTATGACTGTCAATTGACAGGTAAATATAAAACTCCATGTGATGAGAACTCTAAATGCTTTGTTTGGAAAACAAATAATGTTAGTTAGAAGACACTTTTTTTTCCTTTTTAAAATCTAGTAATCTTTAGGTTTTAGGACGACACACTTGATTTTCACAAATTTTTTTTGAAGGAATTTATTAACAGAATTTAATGGTGGATGTGTAAATTAAAATATCTCAATTTTCAACTATTAATAAAAAATCAATCAAAATTAATAATAATATTTGATAATAGATGATATAGAATGAAAAGAAATATTTTGTATATTGCTTTTGGTGACTGAAAGTACAAGATGCATCTATACAAAAGCATTTACAGCTGATTTGCAGATAAAGAAAAAATATAGAAACCTTAGTCATTAGTAAACTCATATAATTTTCAGATAATTATATTGACGTTCTATAATTATAGGAATTAGGCTAACATAACTCAATTCTTATAACTATGCTAACAATCATGGTTGACAACCCAAAATTATAAGAATTATTATGCTAACAATCATGGTTGACAGCCCATAGTTATAGGAATTATGCGAACAATATTCCTCAGAGAATGTCAATAGAAATAACAAATAATTCAAGAGACATTCCTAAGAACTAATCAAATATTAAAAAAAGAAAACTCCAATTTTTAAGTGATAGATGAGATTGATAAACTCAAGCAGTATTATTAATATAAATTTAAATTATTTTTAGGAGTAATTAATGTACACTTACAATTACTTCATTACTCTACTTAAAAAAAAATAAAGATAAACACAATAAAAAAAATTATAATTGAATTTATTGAAAATGATAAGAATATTTTGATTTAGATTAAAATTATTAAAAAAATTTTATTTGTCTGTTTCTTTTATAAAATAAGTATTAATAATTATTTGTAGAGTAAAATAAAATTTCTCCTGTTACTAACAATTTATTTTCGATAACCAAACAAGCGTAAATTCTTGACAGTACAAATGTGAGTCATGTGTCAGCTAAACAATGGAAGTGCTCAGCACCTAAGCAACTATCGGCTTCTATAAAGGCCGACATCAAAGATATTAAACACTCATCAATACAATTTTTAGTCTGCCTACCCAGCAACTCCACATCCCCATCATCACCACTACCTTCATCATGCCATCTTTAACAGCAACTCTGCTCCCAGCCACTAATGGCAATCCAATTCTCTCTGCTCTTCGGAGATTGAATCCTAACCGCCAATTATTGTCTCACAAGCCAATGACAGTAACAGTCACAGCCAACTCGAATAGTGCTAATGTTTACGACAGGTCTTACTGGATCTCTATAAATGATGAGATTGATGCTCATTTGAAGCAGGCCATTCCCATAAGACCACCACTCACCGTGTTTGAGCCCATGCACCATTTGACCTTCGATGCTCAACAGACCACCGCTCCAGCCTTGTGCATAGCTGCTTGCGAGCTTGTTGGTGGCAACCGGGATCAAGCCATGGCTGCAGCATCTGCTTTGCGCCTCATGCATGCAGCTGCATTCACTCATGAGCACATCATTTTAGCAGGCAGCAGGGCCAGGATTGGTCACTCCTTCGGACCAAACATTGAGCTTCTAACAGGAGATGGGATGATACCATTTGGGCTTGAGTTGTTGGCTACTTCTGATGATCCGACGCAAAACAATTCGGAGCGGATTTTGAGAGTGATCATTGAGATCACACAAGCCATGGGTTCGCAAGGGATGCTAGATGGGCAATATAACCAAGTTCAATATGGTCAATCAGACTACATTGATCATGTTTGTAAGAAAAAAGAAGGCCGGTTTTATGCCTGTGCAGGCGCAGTCGGAGCAATATTAGGAGGTGGAACCGAGGAGGAGATAGAGAAACTAAGAAGGTATGGTCTTCATGTGGGCTTGGTGCAAGGAGTACTTTCTAACTGGTTTGAGAGAAAAGAGAAGGGGTCAATGGAAAAGGTACTAAATGAGCTAGGAAATTTAGCACTTAAAGAATTAGAAGGTTTCGACCAAGGAAACGTTCTGGCGATTTCTAGCCTTGTTGAGACCAATTTCAGCAATGCTTGATCACAGGGACAGTGATGCAAAGGGGGAGGAGCCGGGGGTGGAAAAATGACTAGAAATTTTAGGATCGGGCAATTGGATGAACATGTGAATCACGTTTTTTAAGCTATCGGATTGTAAATGCCAAATTTATATCAAGGAAAGTAGATAACTTGAAAATAAATCTTTTTGCCTCTCAGTTTTCTTTTTCTATTTTTAATAATCCTAAGAGTGTAAGAGTTGTGTTGTACTTGGTCAATAGTTGCGGTCAACTCTGGCCATGCTATAATGACTCATCGCTGGCTGAAGAAATCAGTTCTATTGCATAGTCTATGATGGCATTAAATAATAATATAATATCTATTACCTTGTATCAAGAGCTTCAGCCGATGCCCACGCGAAACAGCAAAGCATGGTTTGCATCAACGTGTGTTGGAAGCATCTTATGTTTCAAATGGCTTTGAGAATCGTTTCGAGAAATTTATATTAGTTCAGAAATAATTACTAATATTTATTATAAACAAAGAAATAACAATGAGAAAATTATATATAAAAAAAATACATGCAAACGAAAATATTTTTATAATTTTAACAAGTTCAGATGTAATATTTTTTTATATCTTTTTTTTTAATAAATGTATAGTAACTATTGTTTATATATAATAATTATTTTAAAACTCGAATAGCGTGTGCTTAAAATTACCGGAAAAAAGCTTCTCAAATCTTAAAATCGTTGAAAATTATTGAAAAGTTGTGTGCGGTTTTGTCAAGGAAGTAAGTTTTTCAATTTTTAGGCTTTTCGCTCACAGTTCAACCATGAGGCCCAATTCAAGCAAATAAGTGTCAACTCAAATTATTCAGATCCAACAGAGTGGTCCTTTCTCTTTATATGGCTGGTGTATATCTAATCTGAAGTCTCAACTCAAATTGTTTGTGCATGGCAACCCAAAAGGGGACTCTTTTCTTAATTCCAGTTCATGCTCTTCTTTATCATTTTTTTTCTTATGACTTCGCACATGTAAAAAGATAATTTTCCTTTTCTCATAATTTAAACCCTAGTTGGTAGGTAATGTTTTGGTCCATTCTTTATTATCTAGCAATTGCAAAATAATTCATAAAGATTTTCAATAAAATACAAAAAATAGTTATTTTATATAATGTAATGGATCACGAATATGTTAAAAAAGTTATTTATATTTTTGTTATATAAAATTATTGATTTTTTTATTTGAGCATGTCTATTTTAATTTTTATCATTTAAATATATTAAACGATATATTTTTTTATTCAGATAGATCTATTAACTTTCATTAATTTTATACTGATGTAGTCGTTATATATATAGACTTTACTACCAAACAGGTGGTAAAAAGAAAAATTATTATTTGATGTATAAGCTAGTTAATTTTTTCTAATTAAGTGTATAAATTTTAAATTTTATTATTTAAATATATCAATTTGTATTTTTTTATTTATTTGAGTTGTTTCGTTAAGTCTAAACTGATATCTGTTAACTGTATTCATGACACTGTAATATAGACTTGCGTAGGACAGTTACTTAGATTCTTATACGATTATTATTATTATTATTATTATTTATTTTCGGAAACCTGGCCGTACTTAATGTCCATCTCGTGACAAAGACTACCAGAAAGACCGGTTAGCAAAGAAGGATATATTTTGAACAAAAGTGCTCCAAATACCATCAAAAGAAAATTTAATTTTAAAAATAAAAAAATGAAAAATTACTTTCAAAAGTTTAAAAAATAGAAAAATCCAAAAAAAAACATTAAAAAACTTGGAAAAAAATGAAAAACTTAGAAAAAAATAAAATGCCGTTGAAATATATATATAACCACATCCATAAAGCCAAATTGAAATATGTATTGGGCAATAAATAAGTTTTACAGGATTTGGCTTTTTTCAAATTTTCTATTACTTTCCTACTGTGTTATATATATATAGGCTGGTTCAATTTGGATCCAAGTTTTTTGGTCTTTTTTTTTTTTTTCTTTCAGTTTCCTGTCTTTTTCTAAATTTTTTAAGTACTGTTATGTTTTTTAAAATTAATATCCTATTCTTTGTTTTGAAAATTAATCTTTTATTTGATGTCCAAGGAGCGATGTCTAAAAAGTTGCAAAATGGCATACCACTTATGAATACATTATCCCTTATTTGAATCAAACTATTGAAGTAGTTTTATTTCAACTTTAAGATACTTACAATATTTTTTAGTGCTATAATCATAAAAGATACATGATCAAGATAATTAATGACTAGGATGTCATATTTACATTTCAATATTTAATAATGGTAGACAAGCTTACTTAATTAATTTTTTTTAAAGTGAAATATATATATTGAAAGAAAGGCATAATGCTTTCTTATAATTACATGATAAAAATCAATTTTTAACTACACTTGAAAATAAATCTAAGAAAATTGTTTAGTGGTTATTATTTATAAGAATTCTTACCGAGTGGAGGATTTACGCACACGGTAGGATTCTTCGATCCTCATGTTTCCCCAGTGGGGAGACGACTTCGTTTCCTCCCTCGGTCTCTAACCCTATACTCGGCCCCCTCGCAATGACCATATGCGGACCAAGTCCGCGGCTCTAACCTCCGCAACAAAACATAACCCTAGTACCTCATATTTAGCCATTGCCTCTTCTTGCCCCATAACTAAACACGAGCTTCCCTCTCTTACCACCACACCTAAACCACCATCCATGTATGAAGGTGAGCTAGCGGTGGAATTTTTGATGGATGATGCCTTCACCACCAAATATGAGTTACTAATGGCGAGCAATATAGTGAGGACTCCCGGGCTTCCCCTTCCCTTTTTCCCTAGCCTTCCTTAATGAAACAGTTCACTCATTTGGTAATTTTCTCTATCCGAGAGGATGGGGTGTCGCACCATAAAAAAAAAAAAATTAGATATTTGTAGTTTCCTTAGTGAACCCGATCGTAGGACTATATTTAGGATAGACAAGGGTCAAACCCACTAGAAAAGAGGCTAAATGGATTGTTTTTTTTTTTTTTTTTAGTGTTCTTGTATTGTAAAAAGGAGGGGTTTGTGTGTTTGGAATGCTTGGAAATAATTGAAAGTAATAAAGAACAACAATATTAAGGAAGCCTTGGTTGAACTTTAGTATCATTCAACTATTCTTTTCTATTTCCTATTATGTATATTTCTTATATAGTTTTCTCCTAAATTAGGAATATACACATAGCTATAGGTTCGATCTATTTACCCTATATAGGTCCTTGTATCTTGTATATATATCATTAGAATGTATGAAAGAAAGGTGTTCCGCATATTAACAACTTGGTATCAAAGACTTGTACCCTAGTCGTAACTACTCCTTTTCTTCTTTTTCAAAACCCTAGCCACAATTCGTCGCTCCTTTCTTCCCTAAAACACTAGTCGTACCTTAGTATGTCTACCAAGCCTAAGGTTGCGGATACTAACAATAAGAAAACCTCTACTATAATTACTCACGATGCTCTTTATCCATCCATATTAAATTGGATGGTGCTAACTATCGAGTCCGGTCTAAGATATTGGAGATACATATTGTTGAAAGGAAAAAGAAGCGTTATATCAATGGAAAGAAGGTTGCATTTACGGAAGATGATCTAGGCTATGATTAATGGGAGGTCGAAGATGCACTTGTCAAATCTTGGCTCATTAATTCAATGAAAGATAATCTAATGGCATACTTTGTGCAGTGTGGCACGACAAAATGAGTTTAGGATGCTTGTGAAAAGAAGTTACCTTGATGTATTTGATTCTTCTCAAGTTTATGAAATCATGAAGAAGTCTTTCCAATCATGTCAAGGTGGTCAAGTTCTTGCTGAATATTATAATGAATTAAACTCAATTTTTATGGAGATTGATTATTGAAGGTCAAATGATATGACCTATACTTGCTCATATAGAAAAATACATCAAACACATGGTAGAAGACAAGATCTATATCTTTCTTGTTGGTCTTGGTCATAATTTAGATCAAGTTAATAGCTATGTTCTAGCTACTTCTCTTTTTACCAAGATTAGAAGAAGCCTACTCCTTGGTTTCCATGACAAGTTCAACGACGAAGTTACCATGGGGGCGTAAATCCACTCGAAGCTTCAACTCTAATAGTCCAAAAGAGCACTTCTATAACTTCTCGATCTCGATTTTGCACCCATTGTCATAAGAATACACAAACCGTCGATGTTTGCTTGGAAGAAGCTTGGCTATCCGGAATGGTATAAACTCAAGTAAGTTGAGAAGAAAAATAGAAGTTTTACTCGGAATGCTACCGCCATAGATACTACTCTATCTTGTGCTTCTCATGTATCTAGAACATCTTCCTAAGAAGGTAATTTTGGTTTATCCATTATTTCTACTTGTCATAATACTTGGATTAGTGATTCAAGGACCATTGATCATATGACTAGTAACTCTACTATTCTTGATTCTCTAACATCTCAACTAATTAAGTCCGTACGGAGTTGTTAATAGGAACTCTATGCCAATCATAGGGGTTGAAAATGTGTCTCTTTCTCCGACATTTTCTATATCCTATCTTCTACTTGCACTTAGAGTTTCAAACAATCCCTTTTTCATTAGCAAGATAACAACAAATCTCAATTGTTCTATCATTTTTCACTCTACTCATTGTGTGTTTCGGGACAATCTTACGAAAATGACGATTGGCATTAGTAAAGAGAGGGATGGTCTATATTATTTGGAGAACAATCGAGGCATAGAAGCACCTCCTCATGGCTTTCAAACAAAGAGAGAGAAATTTGATAGAGAGAGAATTATGCTTTGGCATTGTCGGTTGGGATATCCATCTTTTTCTTATTTAGATCGATTGTTTCCTCAATTATTTTCCAAAATTTATGTTTCTAGCTTAAAGTGTGAACAATGCATTTATGCTAAAAACCATTATGTTTCTTTTAAAATCAGTTTTAATAAAAGCACTATTCTTTTTCATGTGTTCATACTAATGTCCGGGGTCCTTTCACTA